TGTCCCAGAGGAGCAGGGAACCCAGGCATCCAGCCAGAGCAGCCCCCTGAGAGCAGGGCCTCATGGCCCAGCCTCTCCTGACGGTTCTTTGCAATCTGGCTTTAGACAAAAGAATGATGGTCTTGATACTACTAACATCTCTGTTGGAGTTTAGAGAGTCTTTTCATGTTTGTCTCCCTTACTTTTCATCACAGTCGAGAGGTAGTTAGAGCAAGTTTCATTGCCCCCTCAGTTGGCTGAGTTCTCTTAAAGATTCTTCCTTTAAGCAAGGTAGTGTGTAACAGAGGAAAAGCCCCAGATGGGAAGTTGGGAGCTGGGTGCTGGTCCTGGTCCTCCACTGCCCTCCCTAACTCTGCCTTGTCCCCTTTCCCTACTGTATGTTCTCTATAGCACTTAGAGTCATTTGCCAGGGCATATGTTTTTTATGGTTTTTGATCAATTGCCTGTTTGCCCCCCCCGCTCCCAACCCCGCTTGAATATAAGCTCCACGAAGGAAGAGAGTTCTGTAGCCCCTAGTACCTGGGACAGCACCCGGCATATAGAAAGTGGGCAATAATGTTGTGTTGAATATTGTGAATACCTGGCTCTGCTTATAAGTAGTCAAGTTATTTTCTTCAGTTTTGTCTTCTCTTTGGGGGAGTTGGATGGGATGGTGTCTGATGTCCTTGGTGGCATACAAAAACCTATGGTAAGAGCGATGCCTAGACCTCTTTTTTTCCAATGAACATCGAGCACTTGCTCTGGGCCAGGCCCTGTGCTAGGTGCTGGGAGGAATACAGAGAGAATAAGAAAGGATCATTGCTCTTCACCTCATAGTGGGTGTGATGGTTAACTTTATGTGTCACCTTGACTGGGCCATGAGGTGCCCAGATATTTGGTAAACATTATTTTGAGTATTTCTGTGAGGGTGTTTTTGGGTGAGATGAACATTTATATCATGGACTGAGTACAGTTGGCCCTCCCTAATATGAGGGGGCCTCTTCCAATCAATTGAAGGCAGATCCTTCCCCGAGTAAGGGAATTCTCCTGCCTAATGGCCTTCTGGGACATTAGCTCTTCCTGCTTGACAGCCTTTGAGCTGAGACATTGGCTCTGCAGATTTTGGACTTGCCAGCTTCCATAATCATGTGAGCCAATTCCTTATACATCTCTCTCTCTATATCCTCTTAGTTCTGTTTCTCTGGAGAATGTTGACTAATACAGAGGGTGACATAAGACCTCTCATCAAATAATCTTGCATTTGGTGGCATAGAATAGTTGTTGGAACAGAGGTACCAGCCTCATGCCAGTGGCCCCTAAAGGAAGGGATGTTGGAACAGGAGGATGATGGGGTGCTTTAGGGAGGCAATGGCATTCGAGCCGGGCCCCGAAGGGGGAGGAGTTCTGTAGGTAGAAGGAGCAAAGCCCACCAGCATATGGGTCGGCCAGCATTGCGGGCTGGAGCCCAGCATGACCCTAAAGCCTGGGGAGGGCGGGGAGTGAGGTATGCCCTTGACAAAGGAGCAGCCGTCCAGCATGGAGAGAACAGAGGGACTGTGTGGAAGGCCAAGGAGCTACTTAAACGTGGACCCAGTTTGGGAGAAGAAGCCGTCCCTCCCTGCTCTTGTGTGGGAAGCCCCAGCCCTGCGTGGTATAGAAAGTCCTGTAGCTGGTCTGGGGCCTCCTCAGGGTGCAGTCGGACTTGACTTCTATTACCAGTGCTCCCGATTTGACAGCTAATAGAGTCAGTGATGAAAAAATGGAGCAGCTGCGTAGAATGCCTGGCGTGTTGTGGGATTCTGATCTTTGCCATGTAGGCCAAGGATGAAGCTCACTCAGTCACTCAGCAGCCAGGCTCTTTGTGTCCCTGCGACTCTGAACAACCTCCAGAAGTCCTTGGGAATGTTCCCCTGGGAAGAGGCATTGTGACCCAGTGAAAAGCAGTATGTCCTCGGCAGGGCACTGACTGGGGGCCCCAGCGCCTGGTGCCAGGCTGCCGGATTCCGTCCAAGCTCTGCCACTGACAGCAGCAGGAGCCCGAGCTGGAGACCTAACCTCTCCTGTGCTTTAATTTCCCCACCTGTAATTTGAGGATTATAATAATGCCTACTCATGAGGTGTTTCTGTGGACTAAATGGGACAATCCAGGGAGAGTTTAGCATAAAAGAAGTGCCTCCAGAATATTAGCTACTGTTACTAATATCATTGTAGCTTTGCAGCATACGAGCTGTGTGATCTTGAGCAAGTCATTCAACTTCTGTGATCTCTTTCTTTATCTGTAAGAGGGGGTTCACACCAATCATTCAGGGCTGATTAAAATAGATAACTTAATGGCAGTGCCTAAAGTAGAGTTTTATCCAGAGTCAGCTGTCCGTAGAAGTCTCCCCTATCCCTTACATTTTGTTCATTCTCGCTCCTTTTCAGTTGGTCAGCCCGTGTTTGGAAATTTTATTCCTGCATTAACTTCAAAAATTCCATACCTTTTTATTGGAGATATTGGCCATGATACAACTTTGGAGACTAAGGAAATTTTACGAAGAAATAACGGGATATACAGTCAATCCTGATCTTCATTTAAATTGTTAACTGTATGAGTGGTCCTTTTTTTTTTTTAAAGGATTTTATTTATTTATTTGAGAGAGAGAGCGAGAGAGCACAAGCAGGCTCCCTGCTGAGCAGGGAGCCCAACATGG